TGCCTACCTTGCAAATAACAACTCTTATTCACTAATGAACAGGGTGCTGAATTTTAAAGGCAATCTCATGTAGAGAGCACTGCAGTAATTTAGTCAGAAGAAGAGTATGAGTCACCATTTGCAGGGTTATCTCCTACAGAGAGTGCCACAACTGGCACAACCAGTTTAAGCTGGACAAAATCTCCCTTCCCCAACCATGGTCTCCTTCCCCAACCATGGTCTGATTTTTGTCATGAGCCTGGAAAGACCTCCTCAGACCATGTACCTTCTTTTTGAAAGAAGGTGCTGCTCCATTGAGATAATCATATGTTTTTGGTCAAATAGTGACCAGTCTTTCTGGGATTCAGTTTCAATCTATTTCTCCATACCTGGGCCCACGATCCAGGTACAAGGTCAACACTTCCATTATATTACAGGCTTGAGGCTCAGATGTCAGTCTGGATATTGCAGTATATTCATGATAGTCCATCACAAAGTAAGAGAAAATTTCTCCCATTAGGTTCATGTAATTTATTCTCTGCCCATACTACCACTTGCTAAAATCACCTACTTAGGAAGGAGCAGAACCACTGCAAAATAGTGCCCCTCATTCCCAATCATTACAGGAATCTCCGAAGATATGAGCAATGGAAGATAATTAGCGCCAATAAGAAATAAAAAAAAGGACTAGAAATGACTCATTGTCCTCATCCAGATCCCAAATAGCACAAACATATTGGTTCCTGCTGCCTGTCTGGGCATGGAATGAGAAGAATCTAGATAATCCACTGATATGGCCAGATCCAGGAGGAGCCACTTCAAGACAGATTGTACCTTTGCCTTATTCAGGGCACATACACTAACCCTCTTCAAACAAGGAGTTATCATCTCTCTTAACATCCAGCCACTGTCCAAGTGATGACTAAATCAGATTGCAAGGCATTCTTCTCCTGGAATGGTCCAAGTCTAAGGGTCACTTCATTCTCACACCTCAGAACAGATACTGCTGATTGTCCCAAAGATACTTTTTCACAAGGCAACTGGACTTTCTTGTTTTTCTTTGAAGATGTTTTGCTTCTCATCCAAGAAGCTTCTTCAGCTGTGAGCTGAAGAAGCTTCTTGGATGAGAAACAAAACGTCTTCAAAGAAAAACAAGAAAGTCCAGTTCCTGCGTGAAAAAGCATCTTTAGGACAACTATGACCTGGATGATTGAGAATCTCCATAAACAGATACTAATGATGTTATGCCCATAGACTGTTTGCATTGTATTGCAAAAAATGTGATCGTATCTGAAATAGGAATGACTTGTGGAACAAGTGGTAAAGAAAAAAAGTGGTAAAGAAAAAAATTAGGTTTCACATCAAGATGGAGCAAACTGAAGCTTAATTCACTTAAGAAAATTATATTAGCTTTAAAGAGAGAGGAGGATTTTCTGGTTTATAAAGTTAATCTACCTAGCCATGTGTATCCTGAAAAGCTCTGCTCATCAGTTGGAATAACTGCAAGGACAATTATTCTTTGGCTAACTCATATTTTTCAAATGGGGAAAAGTATGATACAGTTGAAGTTGCTCCTTAAAGGGTAGACTATCATGGCTCCCAATTTGTATGAATTATGAATGTCCATGAAGAAAATATGGTGAGGCATCTTTCCTCTTTGGGTCATGAGTAAACAAAAACATTTTTTTGCAGGATAAACAAAGAATATTGCCTCCCTACTTTATCCTGCATGGACTTCTCTGTAAATGCAGGAGGAGACAAAGACTACCCAGTTCCTTCTTCTTCCTACACAAACTTATGATATAATTGGAAATACTTATATATTGTGGAATGGTGGTCTTCTCACTACAACCCAGCCCCAAGATATAATTTTGCCCACTGGAATAAGTGGGAAATGAAATCACGACCCTATGCTAGAAATAGTTCTCTAAAGTTCCATATATGTGTCTATGTTTGTGTGTTTGTTTCTCTCTCTATGTATGTACGTGAATAAGCTTATGTAATGAAGACCTAATTAGTGATTTCTCAGCAGTCAGGTGGGGTTACTTAAGCAAGTCTATCCTGTTGATCTGGTAGAGTAGGCATGTCAAACTCCCGACGTCATGTGACGTCGTGCAAAGTATCGGGCCGGTTTTGCCATTGCCGGTGGGCGTGACTTCCACGTGACACATCTGGCCTGCAGGCCGGCAGTTTGACACCCCTATAGTAGAGGATGCTTTTAAAAGTATAGCAATTTTCTCAGGCTGAACCAAATAAAATCTGACAGATTTTTATCTTATTTGATTTAGTATATTGTATTCAAGCATTTCTGCTGATAGGCAACTTTGAGGAGCAGGATGAATAACCACAATTAAAGTTTGATGTAAACATGGTAATAAAATAACTATTTCGATGAAATGAGTTTCCACAGAATTTGACGAATTGCATCATAGGGTATTGTAGAAACTTCATGATGTTCATGTCTTTTAACATGATTTTTGAGAAAACTTGGTGAACTGATAAAATACAGCCTGACTTCATTATAGGGACTACCTCGACAACCATTTACAAATACTATGGTAACAAATGATAGCAAATAGTAGTAATGTAACCATTTTACAACCAATGTGGATAATTACACCCAAATTTCTGCACCTGCAACCATACATGTTGGAGCAAGAATAACACTGGCATTGCTGACTAAGAGAACTTTATCTAAATGAGATGGCAGCAACCTGCAAACTTTGTAGCCTCTCTCTCTCTCCCTCTCTCCCCCCCTCTCTTTCTCTCTTTCCGTGTGTGTGTGTGTGTGTGTGTGTGTGTGTGTGTGTGTATGAAATAGTTTGTTTAGTGACAAATTTGTTCTGTTTACCAGAACAAATTGCAATTGCAAAATAAGGACATACTGAAACATACAATTGGAGCAAGGTAAATATTGTCCATACTTTGAAAAAGAGAGTAGAAAAGATGGTATCAAAAGAAAATCCAAAGAGCTATAGATTGGTCAGTCTGCCATTATTATCTGGAATGATTCTAGAGCATATTCTAGAGCAGATTCAGACCTTGATCAGTGGTGGGATTCAGCTGGTTCGCACCACTTCAGCAGAACTGGTAGCTAATTTTTTGTTGCCCAGGCCCAGAATGGACTTCCGGAAGTGGCATCCACACAGAGAACTGGTTGTTCACATATTTGAATCCCACCATTGACCTTGATACCATTCAGTAATAACCACATTTGTTGAAGGTAACTCTTTCCACTCTAGCCTTATCTTGTTTTTTTCATTAGGTAATTTCCTTAACAGATTTTGGAAATGCTATAGACTCTGATGATTTCAGCAAAGCATTTACAAAGTACTTCCAGACAATCTCATTAATCAAGCTAGTTAAGTGTATGCTAGATAGCATAAATCAGTGGTTCTCAACCTTTCTAATGCCGTGACCCCATAATACAATTCCCCATGTTGTGGTGACCCCCAACCACAACATCACCGGGTGCCAGGGGCGTGGCCAAAGAAAAGGGGAAAAAATGGCGGACAGCCTTGTTTGGCGACCCCCGTGAAATGATCGTTCGACCCCAAATGGGGTCCCGACCCACAGGTTGAGAACCACTGGCATAAATCAAGGGGATACATGACTGATTCAAAAATATTACTAAAAGAGTGCTCATCAACAGCTCATCAAAGAAATTATTATCAACAGAAAGATTTTTTTGAAGATGACAGAAAATAATAATTTCCTTTTATTTTGGCTTGGTCAGACTCCAGATGAATTATTGCGTACAGTTCTAGATATTACATTAAAAAAGATTCAGACTAACTGGAATGGATGTAGAAAAGAGCAACAGGGATAATTTTGAGGCTAGAAATAAGTCCTATGAAAACAGAGTGAAGGACACCTGGAATGTTTAGCTTGAAGTGATAAAACTCAGAGGTGATATATTTCTTGAAAAGTTGTCAACCCAATCACTGGAGAAAGCAATTATGTTTGGAAGAGTTAGCAGCAAAAGGAAACCAGGCTGCCAAAGAACATGGTGGCTGGACACCATCAAAGCTGACACCAGCCAGAGCATAGAAAAACTCAAAGAAGTAACACAAGATTGAAAGATGTGGAAAGACCTGGCCCCTAGGAGCACTAAGAGTCAGATATGACTGAACGGATAACATCATCTCCATGTCAAACCAAAAGAGAGGAGGACCCATTTTTTATCATTCCAGGATGCAAGATGTAATGATTTAAATTATAGAAAGATAGGTTCTAAGTTAGGAAAAAAACACTTCCTAATAATAATAGTACTTTGACAGCAAGAGAAATAATGGACTCCCCAATGGAGATGCTCAAGTGGAGGCTAGATACTAGGCAGCCATTTGTTTAGGATTCATAATTTGAATTTCTGCATTGACCAGAGGCTGGGCATAATGGCTTAATGGTACCTTCCAGTACTGCAATTCTGTTTGTTTTGTAGCTAGTGATATCTATTTTGTCGCTACAGAAACTAGAAATGGAAATTTTATTTCTAAGATCATTAAGCACTAGGGATATTAAACATAGACAAAATTAAGTGATGAATAATTTAGATTACGAATCTCCTGGCTTAATCATAAGATTCATTTCTAGGAATATTCATGAGGAAGGGAGAAACCTGAATCTGGTTAAGTTTCATACCTGCTAATTTATTTTTCTCTTCACTTACTTTTTAAAGATTTTCTTAAGCGAAAAAGTCAGCTACTGTGAAGCTGATAGGCTGCAAAGAATGGTTGTAAGCTAGATTTTATGGTTGTTTTCATAATTATTTTTAATTGTGAACATCTTCAAGTAAAATTTGTGCTATTTCCTTGTTTCCTCCAGAAGTTAATACTTGACTTTGTCAATAACATTACCAAACATAAACCATATGATCCAATTTCACTGAAGAAGCACTGTAGCATCTCATGCCTCTTAATGCAATATTATACAATTCTCATTTCTCTCTGTTATTCACTTACTCCTGATATCAATTTCATGTGCTATCCCTGAACACCATTTTTCTTGCATTATCATTACAGATGTTGGCTTCGACTTGACACCTATTTCATTTGGAGTTTTATAGGACCGGCAACTTTGATCATTATGGTAAGAATTCTTAATTAGCTGTTTTCTGGAAATGCATCTTTAGGATCTTGCATGTCTTGCATCAAATGTAACTTAATTGGGAAAAGATGATGCCAGAAACCTGGCAGTGGTATTTTCTGCCATGGAAGAACATTATAAAAATGTTTTGCTTTAAATCCCTGAAGATATTGTCACTGAATAGGAAGAAGCAGACTTGGCCACATAACCATAGCTCAAAGAGAACAGAGAGTGAACCTTTGCAGGGGTACAGCTAATGTACCAGTTAGGCCCTTTGCTGGATCTGGAGGTCCCTTGGATAGTTGTTCATGCCCTGTCACTTCACAAAATGGATTAGTATAAAGCATGGGGTTGCCTTGGAGACCACCCAAAGCTACAGCTGGTACAGAATATGGAGGTACAGACAGTGATGGGGATATTGTGTTATGGTGACATGACCCCACTGCTTTGGGAGCTATACTGGTTACCAGTTGGCTTCTGGATGCAATTCAAGAAGCTCTTCCGAGCTTTGGACCTATGTCTCTGAGGGAATATTATCTCCAATTATTTTGTGACCATCTGATACAATCAAGAAGGGTGGATGTGCTCAGGTCTAATCAATTAGGCAATCTCATCTTATGAGATCTGGGATATCTCTTTTCAGTTGCACCATCTGCCCACTGGCTTAACACCCCCCAGAGGTTCATATGGCTCCTACCTTTAGGATGTTCAACTCCAAACCTAGTTGTCTTTCCAGGTCTTCACTCAAAGTGGCCCCTTTAGTTAAGTTTGGTTTTATAGCTGGCTGAATTCTTGTTATATGTCTTGTTTTTTTTCCTTTTTATTTGTAAGAGTTAAGGAGTTGGGTAGCCTCAAAAATGCATAATAAATGAGTAAATATGCATAGTTCCTTAAAAGACCATTTTTCTTTAAAACTTTTCTTATATTAAAGTTTTCAGTTAAAATTAAATTCAGAGGGAACTTTTTGAGAACTCACACTAATTTGCATGAAAATAAATCTCTGGTAGATTTCTTCAGGATTAATTGTTATACCTGTATTCTTTTACAAGTGTTTTCCTTGTAAGAAAATGATTCAGTACAAATGTATCAATATTTTTTCACAAGTATTTTTTCCCATGCTATTCCTAGACAAGATAATGCAAAGACAGACTGATAGACAGACTGATTGATTGGCTTTTGGGGATAATTTATTTGCTTTGTGTTATTTGAGAGCAATCAAATTCTACAATGCATCATCCCAGCCAGCATGTCATAATATTTGTGAGTTTTGAAAGTAGAACACAAATCTGAAATAGAAGAGAATTTAAGATTTTAAATGGAAAGTCACATTCCAGGTATCATAATTTATGTAGCCCTATACAGGCAAATCAGCAAGATCTATATTTTTATAGCTTTAACTTTTTCACTAGTTATTTGTATAGTGATTTTTTTAGAAAACCAAGAGGCTCAATGGAGTATTTTCCCTTAAAGGCTCATATCTCCTGAATGTCTTTCTTTTTAAGCGAGGGAAGACATAAGTAAACTCACTCAACTGTCTCCTCTAATTCACTCGAATTCTTGGTGTCTATTGGAAACATTATCCTTCAGAGAAGGTTTGCTACTTACAAAATCACTGCAGCAAGCTTTGAGAAAATACAGAAAGCCCCTCTGAGTGCAATCACATTGAAATAATCTTTCTATAATTCAGTGTAAGATTATGTTATAACAATGGTGTCCCCAAAATTAGAAAAGATATAAGGATTGATGGCTCCCTTTAAAAGGATCAAAGTCTTTTGGAGATTTTTTGCTTTGTAAAAAACACTCTTTTTAAAAATGTTACTTTGAAAATTTCTACTGAGCAGAGATGCTAAATTTGGTTTATTCGGGGTTAAAGGTGACATTTCTTTTAATCCAGAATCTTAATGACTTATACCAAACTAGTTTGTTGAATATGGTAAAATTGCTTGGTTTTCACAATGTTTCAGGACATTTATAGAAACAAAACTCTTTTAGTGTAAGGGTGGGGAGGGCAAGGTATCTCTACATTGTCTATTAAAATCTACTTTGTCTATCCTTATGGTACTGCTTTTTATTTTGCGGTGTGCTACATTACTTCATTCTGTCTTTGTTCAATCTTACAGAATCTTACAGTATATATATTAATCCTAGAATGTGCTGGAAGAATAACGATAAACACACTCCAGAGACTCAGAAAACCGATGTGTCATTTCTCTTTTACTATTAGAAAAAACATTAAAACAAGTTGCTTTGATATTGTGGTTGGGATAGTTTTGTGAGTTTTGTTAATTGCTTTTCTATGTACAGCTTTCTGTTGTCCATGCAAACTAATAAAGTCCAGTGGACTTTATCTGCTGTGGATAATGCAAAAGAATATTCAAGTCTATTTTTCATTGAGTACATACCAGGTTATTCCTCTTCAGACTTGGAGGGGACAAGAATTCATCCATATAAAATGAATAATTATTTAAATATACTGTCAGAAATAAAGTTCCTAATCTTCTGGGGTACATCTACTCCTTAGAACATAGATTCACTTTACTGTGTGGTATGGAAAAGTAATTGAGTCTTGAGCATCTCTCTCTGCTTTTGGAACTATTATAGTCCATAAATAGTTGTATAATATCAAAGAAAACTAGGTTCATCCTTTTTCCTCTTCTTATAACTTGCCATTTTATTTTACTTATTTGATTTTATTTCAGCTTAATGTAATCTTCCTTGGAATTGCCCTTTATAAAATGTTTCATCATACTGCCATTCTGAAACCTGAATCAGGGTGTCTCGACAATATCAAGTAAGTAAATCCTTCCCACTTTCTTTATTGTTTCCAGCTGAATTACACAATGGAGTACTAAACTAAGATATTTGTGTCCTGATACTGTACTTATGTCCTGAATGAAATTAAGGGTGTCGGGGACCAACTAAATACAAAGACATCTAAATAACTAAATTAACTGCAGTCAATTTACTGTGGACTTAAACCATCCCGTTAGTGTCCATATTTTATTATTCAGTTTTTCATACGAATGTCTTGCTTTGGGGCGAAGGACAAATAAATCATATTCAGGCATAGCAAGCACATTGGAGTTTCGTCTTCATGGTAAGGCCAGTAATCTTTTCAAATGATGGACATAGGTGTCAAAATAGTAAAAATAAAATAGCAAAAATATCATAAACTTGATGAGTTTGCTGACGTTTTAGCAATGTCTTTCTCGACATTTTGTGTAAGAATTCAGAAATCTTGCGAGACTTTGGCCATGTGATCGTATAGAGTTTGGCAGTTATATGGGTGCCATTTAGGTTAAAAATATAATTTGTACTGAACATTGAAGCAATGAATGCAAAAGCAGGAAATAATTTTATGTTGTTGATTTATTTTGTATTGCTAACATGGATGGATTTTTTTATTGATTCAATGCTAGCAAGTGTAATATCTGCCCCACTTTTCTATGGTATAATATATTGAATGGCTGCTTCTGCTTCTCTGCTGGACTGATTACAAGGGCCTTGGATGTTCATGCTTAAACAAACCAAAACAGAAACAAATCATGAGCACAGCTTTAAAAATGAATAACAGCATCTTGGATTAAACAAAACTGGAAAACAGATTCCCCCCCCCCCCAATATTAGAGGAAAGTCGGGCCCATTATTTAAAAATAATATTATTAAAACTAATATTTAGAAAGACATTACACAAACTGTATTAGAAAGGTCAGAGATTATCACCAAAAAGAATACCTGCTCGCCTTTCATGAGGAGATTTACCACCTTTGCAGTATCTTTCCTCTGATGCTTACAAATACTTTCCAAAATTACATTTAGAAGGAAAAGCAAGGAACGGGTATTTCAGATCTTTAGCTACTCTTAATCTTGTAAAGTGATCATTTCTTCCTTCTCCTCATGTAGACCACTATCTTATTGTCAAATGCTCTTGCAAATTATTTTTTGCCCATGCACACAAACACACACACATACACACATACAAGAATGCGTGCCTCTATATATTCATAAAGATCTGGTGACTTCCTTCAGCAGCACAACAGCTACTATTTCTATTTTTTCCCCTCTTACAGTGATTGTTTGGACATGTAAATGTCAGGTGATTACTGTTGAAATAAAGAAGAACGCACATACTGAAGTTATTTTGGGGGGAAAAAGTGTTTAAAATGGTAAAATAGATTGAAAAGGCAATTGATGGTCTGTATTTGCTTTTTGAAGAGAAATTGCTCAGCTTATGGAAGGATTTCTCTTTTAAAAGCAATAGAAAAAGAATCAATCCATCATTCTTGTCAGTGAGCACACACAAACCTCTATCCTGCGTCTTCATCCCGTGTGTGTGTGTGTGTGTGTGTGTGTGTGTGTGTGTGTGTGTGTGTGGTGGGGGAAGGTGAAGAGAAGTGTTTGAAGAGAACTTCAAGAGGACAACTGGTCTATAATACTCTTCAAGATCTCTATGAGTTTGTGGCCCATAAACTGGATAATAATCTCTTAGTTTGATTCAGTAAGGTTTTTTGTGTCCTATCTTCCTTGATGCTTATCTGGGGAAAAATTCTATCTACTGTATCTAATCTACTTCCTTTTCCAGCATTCCTAAGATTTCCAGAATTAAAAAAATAGGTTTAGTAATACTCTTAATGATAAGAATAAACTTAATAAGGGTAGTTTTCTAAGTAGATATGTAGGTATGTAGATGCATATGAACAAATCATAGACAAATTTATGTCTTATCCCTATATCACATACAATCGCTGACAGAGAGATCTTATAAGATTTGGGGAGCAAGATGATGACCCTCTTCTCCTGGAAGGTGATCTGGTTTCTCATATGCTGGAGAAGAGAAATAGAAATAAGAGCATGTCATGGCAGACTGCCATGCTGGTTGTCCTATCATCTTACTTGAAGGTCAGGAGCCATCCTCTTGGTATTGCTGCTGATCCATAATCATGGGTCATCATGGCTAATAATTACTGTAAACACCCTCCAATTTCTAGTGATTATAAGACAACACTACTGCAATTAGAATACTTAGTTTGTAATCCTCTCTTGGAAAATCCTCAGTCTCATAATGATCACTACTTATAAAAAACAATGTATAGATTAAAAGTACACCAAAATGTCAGCCATAATTATCAGAGGCAGAAAAATCTTTTTTCCAAATAAAGCTGTAAGATTTGGTTTAAAAGCTGAAATATAAAATTATGTGTAGTGTGAGATAAATTACATCCATTTCTGTCTGTTATCCAATGAAGCTGATTTGTACCAAGAAAAATTTATAGCGTGATGCAATGCCTTGCAGCCAAAAGAATCAAAAGGAGCTTAAGAACAAACTGGTTGCAAATGTAGCAATTAGACTATAGAATACTAGAGTTGGAAGAGACCCCTTGCTCAAGCAGGAAACCCTATTCCATTTCAGACAAATGGTTATCTAGTATGTTTTTGAAAACCTCCAGTGATGGAGCACCCACAACTTCTGAAGACAAGCTATTTCATTGGTTGATTGCTCTAACAGTTAAGAAATTTTTCTTTAGTTCCAGGTTGCTTTTTTCCTTGGTTAGTTTCCATCCATTGTTTCTTGTCTTGCCTTGTCTTGCCAGCAATTGTCTGCAATCCATTAAAGCAGCTGTGTCTTTTCCCAGCATCACATTTTTGCCCTCCACAGCTGCTGTATGATAATGGAAAACAACTTATTTGGTTGAAGGAGTTGGAGAGAAATGCTGTATTCATAGCTCTGCATAGTCCAAAATACCTTTTTCCCTTGAAATTCAAAGTATATATAATTTACATAACTTACTTTTCCCAGGAAGCATTACTAGTCTATAAAGGTAATTGGTTTAAACTGGAAAATAAGAATACCATCACCACCACTTCTTTTATTGTTATTTGTCACATTATTATATGTTACATTCAATATCTGAAGTAATTAACTGAAAATTGTGAGATTAGATATTAGATCACATTGGTTAATCTAAAGCAAAGTTCTTCTTTGCTTATTAGTTTAGTTAATAAATGCTGACACACCTGGTAGGCCTACCAGGTGTGTCAGCATTTAAAGTGATAAAAAAATTGAATACATGTTTCTTCAGATTGCTTTTTATAGTATAGGGGTGTCAAACTGCCTGCCCATGGGCCAGTTGCATCAGATGGATGCTGCACCCACCCCAGCTCCAGCAATGCAAAAACAGTTGTGATACATCCCAACACATTACATGACGCAGGAAGTTTGACACCTGTGCTATAATAGATAGGGATACATCTCTACTTAGAACATTTAATCATTGATTGTACAGAATAAAGTTTCTGTATTACTTTATCTTCAGCTAGACTAATCAGGGAGAGAAACTGTGTTCAATATTATTCACAGAGATACATTTCCAATGAAATGTTCTTGAGAATCTGAGAATGAAACAAATGAAATAAAAAGAAATAAAAGCATTTCTACTGATACTGTCTTAAGAGGTTAAGATAAGTACACACAACTCTGCAGTCAGAAAAAGAACCTGCTGTATATTTGCAGCAAGTACAAAGTTATAGTCATGCTTTGTACTAGTAAAGAGAACTTGGAACAGTCAGTGGCCATATTTCAGCTCTTAAGAAAAGACGAAGTGTGATTATATCAAATCAGCTCTGTGAAATTGGAATTCAGAAATAACTTTTAGATCCTCACAGAGGAAAAAGCTCTGGTTCCCTAGACAAAGCATAGGAAACTATGCGGAACGGGTGGCTAGAAATGAACAGAATGGATTCAGATTGTACCTTCAAGAGAACAAAAAGTGTTGTAATAGTTGGTTACTTGCTATTATGAGGAATAGAAACTAGAAATAATATATGCTGGCCAGATTGGCTCATTTTGACTGTGTGCTGTTTCCCAGAAGGCACATGAAAAAGCAGGTGCCTAGATTCATCAAGTAAACTTTTCAAAGAGTCTGTGGAGATCAGGTCATGGTTCTCCAGGTGATGGTTGTCCCAAAGGTGCTTTTTTCAAAAGGCAACTAGACTTTTCTTTGTTTGTTTCTTCTTGAAGACATTTCACTTCTCATCTAAGAAGCATCCTCAGTTCTGACTGAATGGGGAATGGAAAGATTTATATTCCTTGCAATCATCTGGTTGTTAGCACTTTGAAGGTCGGTCATGGTAAAAGAGGCCATCTATCTTAAAATTTAATAGCCCTCTCTCAACAAAGGGGGAAGAATACAACGCCACCTATGCCCTGTTTACAACACATTCCTTTCAGCAGTTCCAAGAAGATTTCACAACCATTTGCACTCTGATTCAGATAACTCTGAGGGGATCTCCAACCTGTGGGCCGTGGCCCAGTAGTGGGCCATGGGCTTCTGGCCACTGGGACATGGGACAGGCTGGCCAGTGCACGCACATGTGCACGCACCCCCCCACACACTTGTGGTAGTGCCATGGGGCACAAAAACAGGCTGCCACCACACCTCATGGGGGGAAATGGGACACCACCACTGCTTGGGGGGAAACAGGACGCCGCTGCCATACTACGGGCACAAAAATGGACAGCGCTATGCCGTGCAAGAACAGAGCAGGGATAGCAAATATCATGCAAGCGCTAGCCCCGTCCCATTTGCATCACGTATGTGCTTGTGGCCATGTGCACGTAAAATGCTTCCCCCTCCCTTTCCCTCTGGTCTACCAACTGAGAAAGGTTGGTGACCTCTGGCATAGATAACCCCCAGCATTCAGTCAGAACTGAGGATGTTTCTTGGATGAGAAGTCAGGATGTAGCAGACTCAGTAATTGCCTTAATTTCTCTTGGGAAACAAGAGCTGCAAA